CAGCCCCTTCCCACGGGATGACCAACCTGGGGACTGATCCCATCTCCTTCCCCTGGATCCCATGGACACCCCGAGATCCCTACGGAGGACGTTTCCTGGTGTGATGGGGGACATGCCAATGGGAATGGCCAACCTCGGGAATGATCCCATCTCCTTCCCCTGGACCCCATGGACACCCTGAGGAGGACATTTCCTGGTACAATGGGGGACATGCCAACAGGAATGACCAACCTCGGGAATGACCCTGTCTCCTTCCCCTGGATCCCATGGACACCCTGAGATCCCTACAGAGGACATTTCCTGGTGCAACAGGGGACATGCCAACTGGAATGACCAACCTCGGGAATGACCAACCTCAGGATTGATCCCATCTCCTTCCCCTAGATCCCATGGACACCCCAAAATCCCTACAGAGGACATTTCCTGGTGCAATGGGGGACATGCCAACGGGAATGGCCAACCTCGGGAATGATCCCATCTCCTTCCCCTGGACCCCATGGACACCCTGAGGAGGACATTTCCTGGCTCGATGGGGGACATGCCGATGGGAATGACCAACCTTGGGAATGATCCCATCTCCTTGCCCTGGATCCCATGGACACCCCAGGATCCCTACGGAGGACATTTCCTGGCACGATGGGGGACATGCCAATGGGAATGACCGACCTCAGGACTGATCCCATCTCCTTCCCCTGGATCCTATGGACACCCTGAGATCCCTACGGAGGACATTTCCTGGCACGATGGGGGACATGCCAATGGGAATGACCAACCTCAGGAATGACCAGCCTTGGGACTGACCCCATCTCCTTTCACTGGACACTACGGAGAACAATTCCTGGCACAATGGGGCCAACGGGAATGACCAACCTGGGGACTGATCCCATCTCCTTCCCCTGGACCCTACAGACAACAATTCCTGGCATGATGGGGGACAAGCCAACGGGAATGACCAACCTTGGGAATGACCAGTCTTGGGACTGACCCCATCTCCTTCCCCTGGACCCTACAGACAACAATTCCTGGCATGATGGGGGACAAGCCAACGGGAATGACCAACCTCAGGACTGATCCCATCTCCTTCCCCTGGATCCCATGGACACCCTGAGATCCCTACAGAGGACATTTCCTGGTGCAACAGGGGACATGCCAACTGGAATGACCAACCTCGGGAATGACCAACCTCAGGATTGATCCCATCTCCTTCCCCTAGATCCCATGGACACCCCAAAATCCCTACGGAGGACAATTCCTGGTGCAATGGGGGACATGCCAATGGGAATGACCAACCTTGGGAATGACCAACCTCGGGACTGACCCTGTCTCCTTCCCCTGGACCCTACGGAGGGCAATTCCTGGCGCGATGGGGGACATGCCAACGGGAATGACCAACCTCAGGACTGATCCCATCTCCTTCCCCTGGACCCCACAGACACCCCGACACCCCGGACGATTCCTGGCGCGATGGGGGACATGCCAACGGGAATGACCGACCTCAGGACTGATCCCATCTCCTTCCCCTGGACCCCACGGACACTCCGACACCCCACGGAGGATGGAGCCGGTGGCGTTCCCAGGAACGATGGGGAACGATGGAGCCGGAGGCTCTACTGGGGGGTTCCCAAAGTCCTGAGCCGGCGCCCGATGCCTTCAGAGGAGCCCTGGTGAGATGCTGCCATCTCCCCATCACACGGGGACCACGGGGGATGCTTCACCTCGCCGGGGGTGTCCCCACCTGCAGAACCCCTCAGCACCAGCTCACGGCCAGGAGGGCCTTCCACTGGACCCTACGGAGGACAATTCCTGGTGCAATGGGGGACATGCCAATGGGAATGACCAACCTTGGGAATGACCAACCTCGGGACTGACCCTGTCTCCTTCCCCTGGACCCTACGGAGGGCAATTCCTGGCGCGATGGGGGACATGCCAACGGGAATGACCAACCTCAGGACTGATCCCATCTCCTTCCCCTGGACCCCACAGACACCCCGACACCCCATGGAGGATGGAGCCGGTGGCGTTCCCAGGAACGATGGGGAACGATGGAGCCTACTGGGGGGGTTCCCAAAGTCCTGAGCCGGCGCCCGATGCCTTCAGAGGAGCCCCACCAAGATGCTGCCATCTCCCCATCACACGGGGACCACGGGGGATGCTTCACCTCGCCGGGGGTGTCCCCACCTGCAGAACCCCTCAGCACCAGCTCACGGCCAGGAGGGTTCAGCACAAGGACCAGGGGGACCCGAGTCACCGTCACCTGGATGAGACCCCACGGGGGACCTTGGGGGGGGTCAGGGGGCATCCCCTCTGCCACGGGGTGCTCCGTGTTGGGGTGCAGCCTGGTTCCCCCCACATCACCCTCACCTGCAGGGCTTGGTCCCGCTCCCTGGGGGAGATGAGGAGGTCCATGGACCTGGCCAGCGTGTGCTGGAGAGGAGGTGAGTGTGGCATGGGGGGGTCAGAGGGGAGGGTGAGGGGCTTTTGGCACCCCCCAACCCCAAAAAGGGCTGGTTTGGCAGCCGGGCACCCCCTCACTGTCCTTTTCCCAGCGCGGGGGACAGCATCATGCCCGGCCGCTGGCCCATGGTGGCTGTGGTGATGCTCCTGGCAGCTTATGCCACCACGCTGGGGCTTCCTGAAGTCCCTCCGTGGCACTGTCCCCGAGGAAGAGGGACATGGTGACAGCTCAGAGCTCCATGCCCACCTTCACCAACGCTCTCTGCTCTGCTTTGGCCCTGCCCGACTGTCCCTTTGGGGTCAAATCCCCAAAAAGAGGGACGTGGTGACAGCTCAGAGCTCCGTGCCCACCTTGGGTGACATTCTCCAGTTGTCCCTTTCGGGCCAGCTCCCCGTGCCACGGGGACATCCCTCACCACCACGTGCCAAGAGCTACAGCCCCTTCCCACGGGATGACCAACCTGGGGACTGATCCCATCTCCTTCCCCTGGATCCCATGGACACCCCGAGATCCCTACGGAGGACGTTTCCTGGTGTGATGGGGGACATGCCAATGGGAATGGCCAACCTCGGGAATGATCCCATCTCCTTCCCCTGGACCCCATGGACACCCTGAGGAGGACATTTCCTGGTACAATGGGGGACATGCCAACAGGAATGACCAACCTCGGGAATGACCCTGTCTCCTTCCCCTGGATCCCATGGACACCCTGAGATCCCTACAGAGGACATTTCCTGGTGCAACAGGGGACATGCCAACTGGAATGACCAACCTCGGGAATGACCAACCTCAGGATTGATCCCATCTCCTTCCCCTAGATCCCATGGACACCCCAAAATCCCTACAGAGGACATTTCCTGGTGCAATGGGGGACATGCCAATGGGAATGACCAACCTCAGGAATGACCAGCCTTGGGACTGACCCCATCTCCTTCCACTGGACACTACGGAGAACAATTCCTGGCACGATGGGGCCAATGGGAATGACCGACCTCAGGACTGATACCATCTCCTTCCCCTGGACCCCATGGACACCCTGAGGAGGACATTTCCTGGCACAATGGGGGACATGCCAACAGGAATGACCAACCTCAGGAATGACCAGCCTTGGGACTGACCCCATCTCCTTTCACTGGACACTACGGAGAACAATTCCTGGCACAATGGGGCCAACGGGAATGACCAACCTGGGGACTGATCCCATCTCCTTCCCCTGGATCCTATGGACACCCTGAGATCCCTACGGAGGACATTTCCTGGCGCGATGGGGGACATGCCAACGGGAATGACCGACCTCAGGAATGATCCCATCTCCTTCCCCTGGACCCCACGGACATCCTGACACCCCATGAACGATGATTTCTGGCATGACAGGGGACATGCCAATGGGAATGACCAACCTTGGGAATGACCAGTCTTGGGACTGACCCCATCTCCTTCCACTGGACCCTACGGAGGACAATTCCTGGTGCAATGGGGGACATGCCAATGGGAATGACCAACCTTGGGAATGACCAACCTCGGGACTGACCCTGTCTCCTTCCCCTGGACCCTACGGAGGGCAATTCCTGGCGCGATGGGGGACATGCCAACGGGAATGACCAACCTCAGGACTGATCCCATCTCCTTCCCCTGGACCCCACAGACACCCCGACACCCCATGGAGGATGGAGCCGGTGGCGTTCCCAGGAACGATGGGGAACGATGGAGCCTACTGGGGGGGTTCCCAAAGTCCTGAGCCGGCGCCCGATGCCTTCAGAGGAGCCCCACCAAGATGCTGCCATCTCCCCATCACACGGGGACCACGGGGGATGCTTCACCTCGCCGGGGGTGTCCCCACCTGCAGAACCCCTCAGCACCAGCTCACGGCCAGGAGGGTTCAGCACAAGGACGCCCCTGCCTCGCACAAGAGTGAGGGTCCTCATTTGAAGATGCCCCCAGAGAAAGGCCGGAGTTAATTGTCCCCTGGGTGCAGGTGAATGATTTTGCTGGTAGGTGGGGAGGGGGGGGAACATTGTCCCGTCCCCGTCCCCCCCCGGCCCTGTCCTGCTGCAGGGAGAGGAGCGGAGGCGGCTGCTTCCCCCCCCCCCCCCCCCTGGCCCAGGCGGACAATGAGGTTTTGCAGATGCCGGCTGGGAATTCCTCCCAGAGCCTCTTGGAACGTTGTACTGGTGAGACCCCGGCCGCAGGTCCCAGTTCAGATGGGGCACCACCATCTGAACCAGTAGATGCTTTGCTCTTTAGAAGCTTTTTGTCCTCTGCGGCGACCAGTTTCCAAGCCCGGCATCCATCCATCCTTCCTTCCTTCCTTCCTTCCTGGTGGCTCCTCAGCTCAGGGCTGGGGTGGGGGGACATCCCTGTCCCCAGCCCCGAGAGGGACCGGCTGATGGAGAGAAGACCCAAGCGGCCACATCAGGGTGGGGAGATGCTGCTTCTTCCCTCCTCACCCCCCCTCCAAAAAAAAAAAAGGGGGTTCCTTCCATCCCCAACTTCTCCCTGGCTTGTCCTTGGCTTGGCCCCACCTTGTCCCCAAGCTCTTGGTGACTTTGTCCTTCATCCCTTTTGTCCCCAGAGCTCCTCTTCGGTCAAGCCCGGGCTCAGCCCCGACAGGTCAACGGTGTCTTGGGGGGGTCTGTTCTTCTCTCCCCGCTCCTGCCCCCCAACAAGACGGTGAAGGAGATCGAGTGGAGCTTCTCGGCCGGCGCCGGGGCCACCATCCAAGTGGCGGAGTTTGGCCCCGGTGGCTTCGAACGCCCCGACCCCAAGGACCGGTTCAAGGACCGGCTGGAGATGCTCAACGCCACCGCCCTGAGGATCGGGGCCCTGGAGAGGGGGGACAGCGGGGTCTACGGGGCGCGCATCAAACTGGTCCCGGCGCTGGTGGAGGATCAGGCCTTCAACCTCTCCGTCTACGGTGAGCCCCAAGTAGAGGTATTAACCCATTTTACAGGTGGGGAAACTGAGGCACAGAGGGAAGGAGAAAGCCCCAGTAGAGGTATTAACCCATTTTACAGGTATTAACCCATTTTACAGGTGGGGAAACTGAGGCACAGAGAATTGGTGAGGTTTGAGAGGGTAAATAGAAAGCCCTGAGTGTGAGGTTTGGGTTAACGCCTTCTACAGGTGGGGAAACTGAGGCACGGGGCAATGACAGGGTGACCAGGGTGAAGAGAAAGCCTCAAGTAGAGGGATTAACCCATTTTACAGGTGGGGAAACTGAGGCACAGAGCAATGGCAGGGTTACCAGGGTAAAGAGAAAGCCCTGGGTACAGGTGTTAACCCATTTTACAGGTGGGGAAGCTGAGGCAGGAAGCACTGATGGGGTTTAAGACCTCGGACCCCGAGTGTGAGGTTTGGGTTAACACCTTCTACAGGTGGGGAAACTGAGGCATAGAGCACTGATGGGGTTACCAGGGTGAAGAGGAAGCCCCAAGTAGGGATATTAACCCATTTTACAGGTGGGGAAACTGAGTCACGGGGCAACGGTGGGGTGACCAGGGTGAAGAAAAAGCCCCAAGTAGAGGTATTAACCCATTTTACAGGTGGGGAAACTGAGGTATAGAGCACTGATGGGGTTACCAGGGTGAAGAGGAAGCCCCAAGTAGGGATATTAACCCATTTTACAGGTGGGGAAACTGAGGTATAGAGCACTGATGGGGTTCCCAGGGTGAAGAGGAAGCCCCAAGTAGAGGTATTAACCCATTTTACAGGTGGGGAAACTGAGGTATAGAGCACTGATGGGGTTCCCAGGGTGAAGAGGAAGCCCCAAGTAGAGGTATTAACCCATTTTACAGGTGGGGAAACTGAGGTATAGAGCACTGATGGGGTTCCCAGGGTGAAGAGGAAGCCCCAAGTAGAGGTATTAACCCATTTTACAGGTGGGGAAACTGAGGTATAGAGCACTGATGGGGTTCCCAGGGTGAAGAGGAAGCCCCAAGTAGAGGTATTAACCCATTTTACAGGTGGGGAAACTGAGGCAGGGAGAGCTGATGGGGTTAAAATGGGTAAAGAGAAAGCTGTGAGTGTGAGGGTTGGGTTAACCCCTTCTACAGGTGGGGAAACTGAGGCACAGAGGGAAGGAGAAAGCTCCAAGTAGAGGTATTAACCCATTTTACAGGTGGGGAAACTGAGGCACAGAGCAATGGTGGGGTGACCAGGGTGAAGAGGAAGCCCCAAGTAGAGGTATTAACCCATTTTACAGGTGGGGAAACTGAGGCACAGAGAATTGATGAGGTTTGAGAGGGTAAGTAGAAAGCCCTGAGTGTGAGGGTTGGGTTAACACCTTCTACAGGTGGGGAAACTGAGGCACAGAGGGAAGGAGAAAGCTCCAAGTAGAGGTATTAACCCATTTTACAGGTGGGGAAACTGAGTCACGGGGCAACAGCAGGGTGACCAGGGTGAAAAGAAAGCCCCGAGTAGAGGTATTAACCCATTTTACAGGTGGGGAAACTGAGGCACAGAGCACTGATGGGGTTAAATGGGGTAAAGAGAAAACTGTGAGTGTGAGGGTTGGGTTAACACCTTCTACAGGTGGGGAAACTGAGGCACAGAGGGAAGAAGAAAGCTCCAAGTAGAGGTATTAACCCATTTTACAGGTGGGGAAACTGAGGCACAGAGAATTGGCGAGGTTTAAGAGGGTAAATAGAAAGCCCTGAGTGTGAGGGTTGGGTTAACACCTTCCACAGGTGGGGAAACTGAGTCACGGGGCAACAGCAGGGTGACCAGGGTAAAAAGAAAGCCCCAAGTAGAGGTATTAACCCATTTTACAGGTGGGGAAACTGAGGCACGGGGCAACGGTGGGGTTAAATGGGGTAAAGAGAAAACTGTGAGTGTGAGGGTTGGGTTAACACCTTCTACAGGTGGGGAAACTGAGGCACGGGGCAATGGTGGGGTGACCAGGGTGAAGAGGAAGCCCCAAGTAGAGGTATTAACCCATTTTACAGGTGGGGAAACTGAGGCAGGGAGAGCTGATGGGGTTAAAATGGGTAAAGAGAAAGCTGTGAGTGTGAGGGTTGGGTTAACCCCTTCTACAGGTGGGGAAACTGAGGCACAGAGGGAAGGAGAAAGCTCCAAGTAGAGGTATTAACCCATTTTACAGGTGGGGAAACTGAGGCACAGAGCAATGGTGGGGTGACCAGGGTGAAGAGGAAGCCCCAAGTAGAGGTATTAACCCATTTTACAGGTGGGGAAACTGAGGCACAGAGAATTGATGAGGTTTGAGAGGGTAAGTAGAAAGCCCTGAGTGTGAGGGTTGGGTTAACACCTTCTACAGGTGGGGAAACTGAGGCACAGAGGGAAGGAGAAAGCTCCAAGTAGAGGTATTAACCCATTTTACAGGTGGGGAAACTGAGTCACGGGGCAACAGCAGGGTGACCAGGGTGAAAAGAAAGCCCCGAGTAGAGGTATTAACCCATTTTACAGGTGGGGAAACTGAGGCACAGAGCACTGATGGGGTTAAATGGGGTAAAGAGAAAACCGTGAGTGTGAGGGTTGGGTTAACACCTTCTACAGGTGGGGAAACTGAGGCACAGAGGGAAGAAGAAAGCTCCAAGTAGAGGTATTAACCCATTTTACAGGTGGGGAAACTGAGGCACAGAGAATTGGTGAGGTTTGAGAGGGTAAATAGAAAGCCCTGAGTGTGAGGTTTGGGTTAACGCCTTCTACAGGTGGGGAAACTGAGGCACGGGGCAATGGCAGGGTGACCAGGGTGAAGAGGAAGCCCCAAGTAGAGGTATTAACCCATTTTACAGGTGGGGAAACTGAGGCACAGAGAATTGGTGAGGTTTGAGAGGGTAAATAGAAAGCCCTGAGTGTGAGGATTGATTAAACCCTCTCTACAGGTGGGGAAACTGAGGCACGGGGCACTGATGGGGTTTAAGGGGGTAAATAGAAAGTCCTGAGTGTGAGGGTTGGGTTAACCCCTTTCACAGGTGGGGAAACTGAGGCACAGAGGGAAGGAGAAAGCCCCAAGTAGAGGTATTAACCCATTTTACAGGTGGGGAAACTGAGGCACGGGGCGCTGACGGGGTCACCAGGGTGAAGAGAAAGCCCTGGGTGCAGGTACTAACCCCTTTTCCAGGTGGGGAAACTGAGGCAGGGAGCACCCATGGGGGTCACCAGGCTGAGGTGTGACCCCAACCTTCCCCCCCACCCTACCTGCAGCCCCTCAACCTCTCCAAAGACCCAATCCCACCACCCCAAGGTGGCCATACCGTGCCCCATGGAAGGAGAGGGGTGGCCAAGCCTGACGATGGGGGGCGAGTGGGGTGGACTGATCCCTGCCGCCCCACTCTGACCCATATGTGTGTGTCCCCCCCACCCCATCCCTGACCCCACAGAGTCGGTCCCGAGCCCCCGGACCCGTAGCCAAGTCTTGGCCAGCACCTTGGAGTGGTGCAACCTCACCCTTCAGTGCCAGGGTTCGGGCAAAGGGGCCGTCAACGTCACTTGGCAAAGGGACAACGTCCTCCGGGACCTCACCTCGGACCGTCACCAACTGTCCCCCGACGGGACCACCCTGAGGGTGGCCCTGCCACCCACCGCCGCCAACGTCACCTACGCCTGCACCGTCAGCAACCCCGCCGACCGCAAGGTCGCCCTCTTCGACCTCCAAACCATCTGCCAGAGCGGAGGTGAGACCCCCCCAAATCCTCCCCAAAACCACCCCAAACCAGGGATGGGGTCCCGGTGGGGTTGGCATCTCTCAGTGTCACTCTGTGCCCCCCACCCCACCCCAAATCCAGGGGGACAAACAGCCTTCTCCAAATCGGGGTACATCGTCCTCACCCTCATCCTGCTGGCGGTGAGTTTGGGGGGAGCCTTTTGGTGCTGGAGGATGAACAGCGAGAAGGCGGCAGATCCGGGTAAGTGACCCCCCCCCAAACTCCCTCTGACCCTCAGAGAATTTTTTGGGGGGGGGCTGAGGGGGGTTTTCTACCCCCCCCC